CCTCTTCATGGTCTCCCTCATCTGCTTCTACCTCACCACTGCACTCCTGCATCCCCAGGAGGTCGGCCTGGTGGCCTACGGTTTGCTCTACATCATCTGCATCCCCAGCGCCTACCTGCTGCTGGCCATTTACTGCATGGTCAACATGAACAACGTGTCCTGGGGCACCCGTGAGACGACGTCACCTGCAGCCGCCGCCGCTCCTGCAGCCGCACCTCCGCAGACTATGACACGGAAGGGTAAGCAGTAATTAAAGTGTTGAAAGACAGATTCCTGTGCATGCATTTGTTTCGAGATGGTATTTATGAAGACAACCACCATTTTTCACATGCTCGGCCTCACTGAGCCAATCATTGTACCTGTTTGCGTGAACTCCAGCACATCGGTTATATCACTAATCTTATCAGTTAACCTGATTTTGAAACCATCAGAATAGAACCAGCTGTTCTAAAGTTGAAGGTTATCGGTTGTTAACGTTTCCAAAACAGAAAAAAAAACTTTGTTCTTTAAATTCTGCTTATAATTTTAACCAGTGGCACAATTCTGCTCCAATGACCTGGAAATGATTTTCACATTTGCAGTTAAAAGCAAATTCATCGAGTTCTTCTCGTGGGTGAAGTGCTGCAGAAGAGACAGTCGGAGTGGCAGCGCAGCGGAGGTGACTGTCAGCCGGGAGAATCTGGCCCCCGCAGCAGCGCAGCCCGAAACCGGGCCTCAAAACACAATCGTGGAGGAGGAGCACATTCCAGTGGGGGAGCAGAGGTAACAGCCGTCTCTGACCCGATCGTGAGAAACATGAATGAAAACCATGTTGAACTGAAAGAGTCTGAAATGGTTCAGTGGGTTTAGGGTTTGTTTGGTTGGTTGTTGCATTCACTGTTCATTCCTAACTTTTTTGTCCCTTATTTTGTTGTAGACAGGAGGTGGTGCCTGTGATCCCCTGCCCTCACCAGTGTGAGTAAAAAAAAAAAGAAATTGACAAATCTACGGAACCCCTGAAGGGTCAAAGTGAGATATTTTTCTTGAGGATTATTTTTTGCACTCTTTGCGACAGTGTTGCATGAACACTTACGAGAGAACAAAAATCAAAGTGCGAGGCAGTTGAAGGTTAATCCTCAGAAAAAATTCCCCGTGACCCTTCAGGGACGACGTACGTTTTCAAACATTTTCACTAATGCTTCGCTGCGTCGCTCTTTGCTCCAGCTTGGGTCTCACAGCTGCAGAGTTTGTCTGATGACATGCGGCTGCGAGAGGAAACACTGGATCAGGTGATTATTTCTTCACTTTGTAGAAAAGATGTTTGAATAAAACTGAACCTGAACACAAGTACAGTGACACTGATTGTTTCACTCTTTAAAACAGGTATTTGTGGAGTACAGTGTTTACTCTGTGGAACTTGATTACAACACGATGAACGTTCTATTTCTCACTTTAATTGTATCCAGACAGTAATTTTCATTCATCACTCATATAATTAGAAGATATTAATACTTCCTTGTATAATTTTGGACTCGGCGTCGGTTGTTTTTTTACTGAAGGAGTTTCTATACTTCTCTGCAGGAGGAAGCCACTTTCTTCCAACAGCTCACAAAAAAATACCTGGAGCCTCTTCCTGAGAACAAGAAGAAGCAGAGTGAAATGGCCGATAACCTCAGAGATCTGAGGAACAAGGTACAGACTTCTCTCAGATGTTAAATCCCATAGTAATGCTGTTTGTGCAATATTACGATCATATGATATTATGAGAGATGAAACTCAATCAGTTTTTCTTCACCTCGCCCTCAGATGAGCTTCATCTACTTCCTGTGCAACGCCTTCTGGCTCTTAGCGACCTTCACCCTCCAGTTCTCAGAGAGCCACATCTTCATCTCGGTGCCGAAGCTCGACAGCAACATGCAGTTCACAGGAGAGTACCTCTACATCGACCCGCTGGGCTTCATGTTCATTCTGTCCTTCGCATTGCTGGTGGTCATCCAGTTCTTCGCCATGCTGTACCACAGGTAGCCAATCAGATCAGCCGGATTTTTACTTTCTTAAAACTTAAAAGAAGTTTGACGTGTGGACAAAGAAATGACTCAGCAGGTTGGATGGAATCAGAAACGTTTTCTTATCTTGTCGATATGAACTCTGTAAAACTTTTTTTTTTTTAACAGGATTTGCACCCTGATCCATTTTGTGGCCTTTCTGGACACAGAGTCCAAGAGAGAAAGAAGAAATCAGCAAGTTAAAGAGGTACAAACACACAACTGATATATCACTACTATTATTATTACTACTGCTGCTATTATCACGAATATTTCTACCTCATTCTGCGTCTCCTGTTAGAAATGTGTCCTGAGTGACACATGTTAAACACGTTATTCCTTGTGTCATTATCAGAACATTACTGACACAAAGATTGAGATCGGAGCTCTAAGGGACAATTATCATGTTAATACCAGCGTCATACCGCACCCTTCTGATAAAACTTTCATAATGTGTAGACTCCAGGCGTGGTCGCGCTGCTAAGTACTAATCATCTGAATTCCCTGCAGGTCAACGGAGATGAAAGTGAAGACATCGACAAGGTTTCGTTTCCAAGTTTGCTCTACGGAGACATCCGCAGTGGAACTCTGGTGTAAACGAAGACTATCCACTGTCTCATTGAAATGATTTTAATAGAGTTTAAGATACTTCTAAAACCTTTTAACGACCCAGAGACACAACACTACTTCAGAAAATGATTGTTCGGTGTGTGTGTGTGTGTGTGAGAGACAGTTTAGACTCATTACTTTAAGATGAAAACATGATTGATATTTGATTTAAATATAAAATTAATGTCAGGTTAAATATTACATTTTTAATTCATTCATTTATTCATAGCACAGCTGTACTTTAATCCTGGTTCAGTAAATTACTGTTTTTATTTATATTGTTTGATATAATTTACTTGAATTTCATGCATTCTAAATGTATAATTTTTAAATTCTTTTTACCTGTTTCTATGACACTGATGATTTTTCAGAAAGCTGTGCTCACTACAAGCCAAATTCTGTCATCGAAGAACTTTCTTTACATTTATCAACTCACTTTAAAAGTGTGTCTGAAGTTGTATGCCAGTGCATTGTGGGATATTTCTCACTGAAATGCATCCTGGGAATCAGGGATTGACTTCAAATATTAAAAAACACAAGAAAAGTCACTGCAGTTTCATTTTCTACGCCATCTCACGATGATTTGAACAAAAAGAAGAAATCAAATCTGTTCCTCTTGCCAGTTGTGACTTTACCATTTGACTTTGTCGAATGAAGCATGTGCAGAGTTTGTTTTCACCAGTGAGATTTACATACATGAGGATTTTACAACACATCAACTCCGAGCGTTTCATTTTCAGAATTACAAACTTTAAACTCACAGAAATATTTCTTGGAGTGAAGGAGACGCTATTTTGATTTGATTTGATTTGATTTAATTATTTGCGCAATGAAACAAAATAAGAGGAACTGAAGAGAAAGAATCGTGTGTGTGAAAAACCAGATCAGAAATTATCAATTAACCACAGCTTTAAATATGTATTTTTTAAATTTTTGCACGAAATAAAACCCGCTTGATGTTGCTGTTTCAAGAATCTTTGACATTCACAAGTTTATTCTTCCCAAACGTGATAATCTGCTGCTTTTTCTGTTTCACATGATCATAGATATAATGTTTTTGGACACACATCATTGAAAAGTAATGATGGGCTTGTTCCACGACCTTTTGAAAGGTTATAGAACAAAGCAACAATCAACAAAAGGTTGGGTTCGCTTGAGTTTTCCAAAACGTAATTATATGTGTTAAATAGCAGCAGGAGGTGAGAACAGAGTTCAACAGCTCACATAGGTTAATGTACATCCAGGAGTTCAACAGCTCAGTAAAATCTGATCTTGGCAGCCTGACTCAACCATTCCTCTCTCCACTGCCATGCCAAGTTCTAATTATTGTATTAACATTTTAATTGTGCGTTGGTGTTTGTTCCTGCGTGAATTCAGTGAATGATTGACAGACGGACTTCGTCGCGATGCAAGATGCTCTTCAACATTGTGGAATCTGTTTGTGTGCGTGCGTGTTGTCTCCACGTTATTCTGAAGAATCTCAGAAACTTGAGAAAAGATGTTAAGTCCATCAAAATGGTTTTAGTTTTTGGTACAAATCCTTATTTCTTTAAACCTTTTCTTAACATTCTCACTTCCTGAATTGACGGATTACAGGACTTACTTATTTCTGTGTTTTTCATGCAGAGCTGCGTTGTGTCATGCTATCTGGGTTTCACGGAAATTCAGATGCAATGGTAACTTTTATTTTGTTTTCCTGTTGCAATTAAATCTTCACATTTTCACAAGTTTCAAATGAAACCTGGTGTTGGGCTGGGACATGAAAGTTTGGTTCGGATCTGCAACCAGGAATTTCTTTTTTATGGATTTTCTTGTTGGTTCTCAGGGATTCATTCATGGATCTGTTTGAAAAGTGATATCTACATTTATATATGATGTAGATATATGAGAGTGTGGTGCAGTTTGATTGAATTTCAGAATCAGTTCTTCTGACTGACTTTAGTTTTAAAATGTTTCTGTTACTGAAACTTATAATACGACGGTTTCACAACCTCTTAAGTCATCCAGTTACTAGTGAGACGATCACATCCTCTTTTCTTTCTGTTTATATCACGTCACACAGCCTGGACACTGAGAATAACCTCATTAGAAAGATAGGTAGCTTACTTTATTCATCCCCAAAGGGAAATTAGGTAATTATATTATTTATATTTATTTATATGATATAGGTGTTATACGTTTTTCTATAGAGAAAAGATAAACACGTTTTATGCAATTTTCATGAGAACGAGCTAAAGTTGACATATTTTTTTATGGAGATGTTTAGTTTGAATACAGTATAACTTTATATTCCAGTTTAACACTCAGTCATTGTGGCCCACCAATAACTGTGCTGCAGCCTTAAGAGTTTAAACACAACTTTAAAATCAACATGTCTCTTTTCGGCAGTTCCTTTATAATCTTATAACAGTTTTTTTACAAAGAGATACAACATAAAATAAAACTCACAGGAATTAGAAAAAAAAAAGAAAATCCATATTTTATTTATAAGTTTAAATTCATGATATTCACCATGTGACTGCGGCTGAGAAACACCATCAATCTGAAGCAGTGAGTTGAACCAGCGTCACTGTGCAGACACGTCTCCTGCTGATGTGTGAGTCACCTGCAGAGCACTTGTGTGTTTTATGAGCCGGTCAATAAGAATCAAGCTTCTACTCTACGTGTCCTGTAAAGACGCAGCTGGAAGTCAGTGACACACGCAGTCGAGGAAACGCTCCCGATGGCAGAAAATGAAAATATACATAAATTAAAATGAACCCTTGAGCGTCGGGATCAGAGTTCCAACTGTGTTTCACTTCCCCTCACCGTCCGTCTCTGTCTCCAGACTCAGTTCCACTTTTCATCCAACATTTTAATCACAGGAAAATCTGAACGAATAAGAACATGTGGCATCACTGTGAGGGTCAGCTGTCTGAAGAGGTCGAGCAGGAAGTACCAATACTTCTGTAAAGTTAAGTAAAGTAGATATTTCAGGTATCTTTATTTATGATTTTCTACCTGCCACATTTGAACACAAATATCTGAACTATCAAAAACGCTCCATCACAACTTTCACAATCTGTCGGTATGAATACAGATTATTTTTATAAACACGATCTATACATGACACATCGATGTATTATATGGTTATTTTCTATTATTAGAAAAATCTCTCGATGGTTTTCATTGTCACCTCCGCCAAAGAGAATATGTTTTCATCCCCCTTTCATGAACTACAAACAGGATTACACAACAACTTGTTTTCTTTTCTCTCCATCCTTTTTCAAGACGTATTTTGGGATGTTTGAACATCCGACAATTTAAGTCTGCTCATGGTGAAAAACAGCTCCTCTAGTGGACATTTCCTGAACTGTCACTGTTTCCCGATAAGTTTAAATTGTTGCCACGGTCGTTGTGTCGCAGCTGCAGGCGCAGACGATGTCCTGATTCCAAAAGTTCGATTCCCTTCTCATTTAAATTTGGTCAGATTTCCTTCAGTTTTACTCTGAAAAACATTTACTGTCGTTAAACAGAAACGTAAGAACTTTCCACTTCCTCTTCACAGTGATTTAAAACATGTCACGTGTTCGGTCTTTAAATCTGACCGATCAGTGCGAGAGGTTCAAACTTTAGCTACGCCCACTGCTGCCTGACTCCTCCCCGTCACCCCGGCAGAGGTTAGTCTCGATGTCCCACTGTCGTCCAGGGAGCGGTCGTTGGACTGGGTCATCTGGCCGTCCACGTCTTCTGCCAAAGCTCTCCTGTACACCCCCGACAGACTCTGCCTGAACCGCCCCCTCACATCCAGCCCCATGCAGAAGTACAGCAGCGGGTTGATGCAGCTGTTGAAGTAGGCGATGCCCTTTGCTGCAGGATGCCATACCTTCACCACCTTGTTCTTACTGTCCACCATCTTCACCAGCTGGAGGCAGTGGTACGGAGCCCAGCACAGGAAGAACGCAATCACCAATGAGGCTAATATACGCAGAGGACGCTTTTTCCCAGACAGGCGTGTGCGGCGGATGCCAAGGCCGGCGAGGAAGTAGCACATGAGGATGACCAGGAAAGGCAGCATGAAGCCACATATGAAGCGGATGGAGTAAAGAGCCACTTTGGTGCTACTGCTGCCCTCTGACGCCTCCTTCACCTCCAGAGAACACTTGCTCAGGTTGTTCTTCCCCAGATAGACCTGTCGGTAGACGAAGTACGGAGTGCTGAGGACGATCGATGCCGCCCAGACGCAGGCGGCCACCACCCTCGCGGCCCACAGGGTGCGCCGTCTCTTGGTGAAGATGGGCAGCCAGACGCAGAGCGCTCGGTCCAGACTGATCACTGCCAGCAGGAAGACGGAGCAGAACATGTTGGCGTATTTGAAAAAGCCGTTGAACTTGCAGAGGAAGACGCCGAAGGGCCATCGGTCATAGAATAACTTCTTGATGAGGGAGAAGGTGCGTGTGAAGCAGAAGATCAGGTCGGCCATCGCCAGATTCACCAGCCACACGTTTGTGACGTTCCGCTGAAGAGGAAGAAAAGAAAAGAGGAGAAACATCAAGTTTCTCATCTGAAAGGGTCCATCTCTCTCTCTCTCTCTCTCTCTCTCTCTCTCTCTCTCTTTCACACGCACAAACACACTCAGCAAATTCAGATTGACGTTATAGATCAGATTCACACGTTATGTCCACCTTGAGCCTGAATCCAGCCACCCAGATCACCACGGAGTTCCCGGTGATGCCGAGCACCACAGTCAGTGTGTAGAGGACGATGCTGACGTTGTCCATGATGGCGTCGATGTCCACCGTTGTCATGTGGTCGTCCTTAGAGGACTTGAGGTTGAGGAGCGGCACGGAGGCGTTATGAGACATTGTGAGGCTGCAGACACGGAAATAAACCATCATGTCAAAATACAGACATTTATTCCATCCGCTCCATGTTGGTCTCATTTGTACTTTTACTATCGTGTGTTAATATCTGTATTTGTGAGAAACATTTATTTAAGATAGACTCAGAGTTTTCATGTTTCTTTATTATTTTTCTTCCTCCTTATGTTTTTCACTTGCAACAATCAGACATAGACACACACAGACACACACACACACACACACTTGGACACATTCTCAGACGCAATGACTCAGCTGGTACATGTACATCTGACTTGTCTACAACACACACACACACCTGTCTATATTCATGTCTATTTTCAGATGAGTCTCCTCATAAAAATAGAAGTAGAGGAAATGGGAAACAGCTGAATTTGTTCCAGTCAACAGATATTTAGTGAAACCTGAAAACATGAAACCAAAATAAACCTCTGAAAGGAACAACGGTGAGAAAAAATCCTCAAGAAGAAAAATAAATTATGTGTAAAGAGACAATTTCATACATCGAAACCGACGAATACAGGTGGAAGTAAATTCATAGAAGAACTGAGTCTAGTTTCTACAGTTTACAGAAGCTCTGGGGAAAGGGGAAATGAAGACGCTGACAAAAAACAATTCTACAGATTCTTACAAACGAAACAATAATATTAGACATGGTGTCAACGGGCTGGAGATGGACCCTTCTTCTTCTGGAGACGTTAACCAGAGGATTATTTCCCATGACCACATGGTGAAGAGGGTCAATAAACCAGAGGACTCTCTGTTAGACATTAGAGGCAGATGTTTAAAAATGAAAAACAAAAACACAGAGATAATAAAGTGCAGTGGTTGAGAGGAAGTTGATCAAAATACCACAGAGAGTTATGAGCCCAACGCTGTTCGTTAAACCACAAACATAGAGTCATGTCCGCCCTGCTCCGTCTCAGTGTTACACGTGTGTGTGTGTGCACCAACAACAAACCTCCGCCTTCCACTGCGTGAGCGGCGTCACGCCACACCCTCGACTGGACTGATTTCAGATTAAATAAACTCTCCCACAGGAACGTTGTGGGACAGTATCAGCGCTGGAACATATGATATTAGAATTATAAGATGTTATATAAACATGATATAAATATAAAATATCATTATCTTCAGGCACAGACACCCGACAGCAGCAGAAAGGGGAAATATCCTGATTCCCTGAACTGAAATATTTTCACTTTATCACAGCAAAGAGTCAGATTTTGTTCTGAGCAGCTCAAAGAAAACATTGACTGAGTTTTTTTGTGTTTGCCTTTTTTTAAACTTTATTCTATGGTTATAGTTTTTTGTCAGGGACAGTCCATATCATTTACAACACTGTAAATATTCCAGTGGTCTCACAAATCTTCCTAATTTAAGAGGTTTGGTAAAAGACCAGAACTTAATTAGTATTTTTCATAGTAAAAGAAGCATCTGAAGATGTGATGTGTTTTGGTATCACATGTTTCTTTTTAATCGTCCCTCCTGGTCCCCTTAGCCTGTGGCCCCTAAAGTCTGTTGAAACGCCCCTGATCAGCGACGATACTCAGAAAACATAGAAACTAAAACAGCGAACTTCAGTGATTCTTTCTGTTTCCTGTGACAGAAAAGATAAACCTGAACTTCAAGCAGAAATGTGCAGGTTTGCTTTGACACAACAGAACCATAGAAAAAAAAACATGATTCCACAGGTGGTTTCAAAAGTCTTTTCTCTGAGACAAGGTTTGAAAACAAAATCTCATATGTGGGTTCAAACTGCAAAATATTTTAAAAATATGAGCGTGTGTATTAATTAATATGACGATGTGATAATTATTAATATCTGTGTTAATGTTGTCACGGTTAGAAAACGTTTCTTACCTGTAGATGTTTGACTGATCTCCCAGCTCCGAGGTCAGTGTCTCAGTGGTCAGAGGCAGAAGTGAAGATGCATCTTCATGAGCTGCACACATACACACACACACACACAAACAAACACACACACACACACACACACAAACAAACACACACACACACACACACACAAACAAACACACACACACACACACGCACACACACACAAACCCACACAGACCCTTCCTCTTTCTCCCCCTCCTTTTATTTCATGTGTGTCTGACTTCGACTTCTGCTTTTTCTGACACTCACTTTATCTCCCTGTCTCTCTCACACACGCACACACACACGCACACACACACACACAAACGGAGGTTATGAATAACATGTTTCCTCTTAACTGGGTCAAAGACCTCATAGATAATTGTCATTATTCCACAAGGAACAATCTTCCACAAACACTCACTTCCTTTTTTGGATATTTATTGATTTTATTATCAATCTGTTGCTGCTGATTCTCGGCTCCACTGTCTTTACTTTAAATCATTTTCCTTCCTTCAGTTTCGGCCAGTTCCTTGTTTCTCTGGCCCTCAGGTCACTGATGTTGACAAGGGTCATTGCAGAAATATCCTGACCACTTAGGAGGAAGTCATTCAACAGAAAGTGATTCTATGGAAATTTACTTTTAACCAGAGTTTTTCAAAGAAAAGGCAGCAGCTGTCGTGTGCGGCTCTGAGAAGGTCTGATCTTTACGGTGAGATGGTGAGGAGCTGGTGCATCATCACTGATGGTCCTCACAAGTATATCTTAATCAAGCATGTGCACAAACTTATATTCCAGGTGTGTGTGTGTGTGACTGTGTGTGTGTGCATGAGAGAGAGAGAGAGAGAGATCCTCTCGCTTACGCTGCCCACTAGTGGCATGAAGTGAATTTGTTTTTGAGCTTTATTTGGAACTCTCTTTCATCATGAGCTGTCGTCACACAGTGAGTGAATCAGAACCAAACTGTGAATCATGTTTCATTGTTTTCACACAACATCCATTCAAAGACTCAGGAACTCCCTCCTCACTCACCCTCCACCCGGGCTTACGGTCGAGTTTTTCAAATACAGAGAAAATCTGAGCAAAAACCAAACAGCTGATTTCAACTGCAGCTAAAATCCTGCTCAGGTGTTTTTAGTCTCGTTACCAAACAAAATGGAGGACGTCACCTCAGGATGCTCGTTTGGACACATGGACGATGGACGACATGGTGGAGACAGAAGCACGGCAGATGTTCCAGAAGATACGTTCACACTTTAAATATCCATGCACAAATGTGAATTACACATACACTAAATAAAACTAAAGCTGCACAACTCTTTTACAAAATGTACAAAATATTTCTACTGCCACAAAACTTTAATACGAATGGGCAAAGTATTTCTAAGGCTGCAATACTTAAATACAAATATACAATTTCTCTTACGGCTATGAAACTTATTTACACTTGTCAATATATCTATAGCTACAAAACTTATTTAAACACGTACATGTTTCTGCAGCTACAGTACTTTAATACAAATATAAGTATTTCTAAAGCTGCATAACTAATTTACACATTTAAACATATTTTTACTGCTGCAAAACTTTTTAGCACTGTACGACAAAGGTGATGTACAGATACATTATTTTAGCACAAAATATAAGTGATACTTATTTGATCCCATAGAAATTCAGCGTTTTATTCTCACATGCAGCAGAGAAACATTTTCCCGACACTGTGTCCCTGCAGCTCTACATCATCTCGTGTTGTGAATGGTGGAAAGAATTCAGAGTTTAACACCTTAACTCAGTGGTTTTTGTGATTTGAGTGAACAAACTCTGTTGCAGAATCTTTCTGTCCACGTTTCACCACCGACAGTGCGTTAACAAATTACATCACTTTTACACAAACAGAAGTTCACTGAACTCTTCCTCTTTTCAAATATTCTCTCTTCTTTCACCGACCGCACACACAGGTCTGCTGTGGATGAACTGCTCTCCGTCAATCGACAGGTAGAGATAGTGTGTGTGTTTGTGTCACAGGTTCGATCCCCTAGTGTTAAAGATGTAATATTTAGCAGCATTCACAAAACGTCTTGTTTTAAACTGTTGTCTCAGTAAATATAATGTGATATTTGCTTTTTGTCCTCATACAATATCTATTTAATTACATGCAAATTGTGATTCTTCTTTGATTGTGTTGGTTGTTGGGTTTATTTTATGTTGTCGTGGATTCAAACGGTTCCTCTCATCCAGCTGAGATGGGTGTTGGTGTGGCGGACGTCGCTTTGCTCCTCGCTATGATGCAAGGTCGGTAGTTTCTGGATATTCCTCAATTGAGGTATTTGTACAGGCGGAAGTTAAGTTAAAACAGCGGTGGATGGAGTAAAAATATAAATATCATACTATACAAATACTACAAGTAATAAACCTGCATAGTATAATATCATCAGTATATTATTGTGTTTGTGTTGAAGGATGTGACTCATGATTAGGATTTTAATCTGATGATTATTGTCTTGATTAATTTTTTGATTTGTACACATCAGGAAACGGCTTCGTAATTACCCAGAATTCACTGTGACAGCAACACAATGTCTATTCGTCCGACCCACAGCTGAAATCCCAAAATGTATAAAAGTAACTTGAAATCCCTAAAGGTGTGTGATGGTAAATGAAGATGTAGGAACGTGGGGGAGGAAGTCGTCGGTGAAGAGTTTGTGTTGTGGCAGATAAATCTAAAGTCTTGTGTTCTGCGTCTCAGGCGTCTTCAGTCAAACCTGGAATCTGAAGCTGCCTCAGAGAATCGTGAGCATCACTAACTCCTGTGTCACGGTCCCATGTCACTTTGATATCCCCAACAACCAGGAAGCAAACTTCGCGAACTGCTCCGGCCGCGCTGTCTGGAGGCGAGGAAGTATTTTAAATCCAAAGACCGCACAGGTGAGAGAGGTCTTTCTTTATTGTTTCGCTGGGTCACACAAAACTCATGAGCATCACTGAAGTGGAATCAAAAATGGATGGATAGATGAATGGAAGGATAGATGGATCAATTAAAGTATCGAACATTTGGTGGATGGATCAAATTTTGTATTTTATTTTCACGAAACTCTCACAGGGAAAAATAATCGGCGACTTAACAAAGAAGAACTGCACCACGATGATGAGCAGCTTCCCAAACATCCACAACGACGTCTACTCCTTCAGGCTCAATTGTCCGAACTTAAAATTCACTTTCCTTAATGGAGTCAACATCAGCATTCAAACAGGTACGACCGGAGGAACAGTGATCAGAAGGGCAGATATTTCACCCCACATTATTAGTCTGTCTCATAATTGTCTCATATTCCTCAAATCGTTGAGCTATTAAGCTATTAAGGCTAATTAAGTTTACACAGTGCACGCCTAGCGAGGAGCCGATACTGTTTCAGGCAGAGGCTGAAAAGAGGAGCTGCAGCAACAGACATGATGAGGAGAGTGATGTCATCACACTGATCAACCTGAATATGTCTCCTTTTACTTCAGCAGCGTGAGAGCAACATATTTTCCCGTAGAGTAAAAGCGGAGACTAACAATTGGCTCATTTTCCCAGGTGGCTGAAAACTCTGAATGAACGATGACTGTCTAACTTCCTGTCTGTGTGAAAACACTCTGTCTTTAACCGGCTCTTTGCTGTTTGACGTCCGTCACAACAACAGAGCCGCCTCCTCCTCAGCTCACCTTCATGAGTCAGATGTCAGAGGGAGGCCACGCCAAGCTGCAGTGTCAGACCCCGGTGTCCTGCTCCGTCCTGCCCCCCTCGCTCACCTGGTCCCTCCGAGACGCCTCCAGCCAGGAGGAGTCACACATGCAGCAGGTGACGAACCGTTCATTCATGCATTCATGCATTCATGCATTCGTTTTCAGTGTTGTAAGGGCCCTCAGGAGTCGTTCAGACTCTTCAGTTCAGTCTGAACCCAAACATCAGGTGTGAAAGGTTCCTCAGACCAGAGGATGTGTTCCGGGTCTGGATCAAACTGAACCAGAGTGAAAACACTTTTGTGTTTTGACTCTTTGTGTCAAATAAAACGTAGTTTATTTCCAAGTAACATTTGAGATGCACGACTGTATGTTTGGTTTTACGCAAAGAGTCCGACTGTGACAGATTAATCTTAGTCTATAAAATCATGAGACTTATTTTGATTTCTTTTGTCATTGTGTAATTCAACCGATCAATCATTGACACACTGTGTTTTATTTTTCTCAAAGCAGAGGCCAGACGGGTCGATGATCATGACGTCCACACTGACCTTCATCGCCTCAGCCGACCATCACAACCAGACCGTCCGCTGCTCTGTCTCCTACCCGCTGTTGAACGGGGGCAGCAGCTCGCCGGCCATGACAAGTCAAAGACTCAGCATCCTGTGTGAGTGACTGAGTGTTTGTCTGCACACAGCGCCCTCTGCTGGCCCACATGTATAGGATGCTTAAGTCATTAAAAAAAGCTTTGGTAAACTTCTCAAGTTAAAGTAACAAAAAATAATCTGTTTCTTTAAACGTCTCCCCTGCCAATCTTCAGATGGAAATATCGTTTTAATGCTGATGACATTGACGATTTATTAATTTAATTAATGACCCTTCAGTTCATTAATCAATTACTGACACATTTGACAGGTTCTTCTTCTTCCTTCCTCATACGAGCACTCACTTTTGTTTATTACCCTTTAATACACTGCACAGTCAACGTGTTTCAGCCTGACACGACCCGAGGGGGATTCTTCCTGTTTGCCGTTGGCTTTTCTTGAGCCTGAGTTTGAAAAAGTGAACTTGTCTTAACTTGGTGTTGACGGACGAAGCGAATGAGGCAAACACAAGGTGCCATTGTGTTGCAGGCAGAGGTGCTTTGTGGTGGAGGAAGTGGTGCAAAGTCCGAGCTCAAGCAGGATTATTTCATCGCGAGCGCAGTGTTATGACTGAAAGTGTTACAAAATCTAAAAATACTGAAAGACACTCCGGAAAAAAGAGGAGAAAACAACACAGACAACAGCGATTTGGACCATTTGTGGATCCAGAGACTTTCTGAGGCACACAAGTAAATAGCAGGAGTCACTGTCTGTCTCCCCACAGATGCTCCTCGATTCACGACGGCAACAATCATCCCGTCTGGTCCGGTTTTCGAGGGAGAAACCGTGTTGTTGACGTGTTCGAGTGACGCCAACCCTCCAGTGAGCCACTACATCTGGTTCAGAACCGAACAAGGGAAGGTGAAGAGACAACCAGTTCACTTTGGTTTTTATTCATTCACTCATTTGTTCAGAAACTCACTTTTTGCAGCGGAGGGATCTTTCAGTAACATGAGCATATTTTACCATGTGGCCAAAAGTAGTTTGTAACAGATCAAAACGAGGATGAAGCTGCGCAAGAAAGATTTTTAAAAAAACAGATAAGATCCAGATCTTATCTTGGATTTCTGTAGAAATGGCGAAGATGAACGATGCACTTGTCATTCATCGAGTTCACTTTATCTTCCTGCGGCTTCGTCAAAACATAAAACACAAAGAGCTGGACAAGTTCCTGTGCAGTAAGTCTCGGGGAAACTGATGTTTCAGGAACTTTGGGTGTCCACATACTTTTGGCCAATGTGTGACGTAAGGACCCAAAGTTTCATCCATCAGGAATCAGATCCGGGTGATTTTGTCAGTGATCATACGTCTGTGTGTCTGTTTTTAAATTAAGACGGGGTTCACCACGATTTACACACTTGAAAAATAGCGAGGAAGGCCGATGTAACCATAGCAACAGTGATGCATTTTAAAACTGATAACCTTCTTCGGACTCATTCTGTCGGACACCGAACACTGAGGACAAATCTGTTTAACCGAACCTTTAAATCACCTCATTTGTCGTCGTCACAGCTCAGAGCGATTGCACGAGAACAAACTCTGGAGCTGCAGGTCAACCTGTCGCACAGCGGACCGTATCTGTGTGAGGCTCGGTCTCCGAGAGGCTCTCAGACGAGCAGAACTGTGTTTCTGCGGGTCAGCGCCACTCAAGGTAAACTTCAAGCCAGTGGTATTGAAGAATAGACGACGTGGCAGCTCCCGAGATTAAATGAGTGTCTCGATCAGATTGACAGCATGAGTGAACATTTGGCATCACTTCTGGATGGTGGGAGGAAGCGGAGGTGCATCGTCCAAATGTATTTACTGATTAACAAACACAGCGAACATGAGCTTCTCCTCGGTCACATAATCAGGAAAATCAAAGGGATTCTGGGAAATTAAGGAAATTGCTAACTTATGTAAACAGGTTAAGATTCATTTCATGAAAAGTGAAACTTCTTTACTTCCTGTTTGTCTGGTAGTAGCCGCAGACAGCAGTCCAGTTTCGATGATGCCCTACATCATAAGTGGAGTGTTGTCCGTCCTCTACATCCTGATGGTCTTTGTCAATTTGTACAAGTGCCACAGGTAAAGATAAGTTTACTGCATCACGATTAGAGAGACTCTCTGTTTTACTTCTGTTTCCGAGGTATCTCTTTTCACTCAGAGCTAAATATAAATCAGGATATTGTTAAATATGAGAAACTCCCTGCTCTTGAAATCCCCCACAGAGTTTATCTCCTCTGTGCTTCCTGGTAATTTTGGTTAATGTTGCCTCTGTTTTTCTTTTTCCTGCCAAGTCTCTCCAGGAGGCTGAAGGTAAGAGAGTTTTTTTTCACATTCAAAGAAAGTGTGAGCCAGGCGACACTGACACACAGTAGACTAGACTAGATAAGGAGTTTTGACATCCTCTGCACATCACGCTAGAGTCAGAGTCTCGTCACGCTGACGCCCCGCGACGTCTCTGCCACACGAAGGCAGGAAGTCAAAGTGACTAACCATTAAACTTGTAATAGGTCAATTTTCCTTTTTAAAGAGTCGTCATGTGTCATGAAAATGATAAGATCAAGTGCAGCAAACATGAGAAGGAAATGGCAGCAAGTTGAAATGGAAAGATGAGGTGGTGCCACAAGTCTTATGGAAGTTTATTCTTAACTTGAAGCATCTGCGACTAAATAAACTAACCTGAGGCCAAACTTTCCCCCTGCAGCTGCCTGATGAAGATAGAGAGACGCAGTGGAAATCTCTATATCATTTTGTGTTAATTTTACTCATCGATCAAAATCAAACTACCTGCGCTGACATGTTACCTTTCCCTTCTTCTGAAGAGCTGGATCAAAGCTCATGATCAAAATTCAAACTGATTTCATGGAAACATTCAATCATTGATAAATGATCAAAAGAAGTGGAACGCATACGTCCAGCGAGGCCCAACAGTCTCCTATAAATTCAACAATATTCTAAGAAATGTGATATTAAGCTTGTGTCGTCGCTCAATTTTAGATTAATACGTTTTTAAAAATATTTTGTAGAAGATTGAGCTGAAGGGAGATCCGATCTACACTGATCTGAAGACCATCCATGTCAACTCTGACTACGACCAACTCCAGGTATCTGAAAACCATTTTTTTTACCAGTTTAACATTTGGATTTTCCTCATGAGACATTTCTCTAAATCAGATTCAATTAAAGACTGAGAAGGAGAAGAAGAAGAAGAAGAGGCTGATTGTATGATTCACATGTGTTTAATGGGATCTTCCGAGGAGTCTACCACCTTGATTTATAATCCATGGTTCGGAGATGTTTGGACCAACTGAATGTTCAGCACGTCTTCACTGTGTTTTGTCTCTTGTAAATATCTGAAATCTTATGTCTATGTGCATTATTCTTATTTTGTCTTTTTGTTTCAGCTGAAACCAAAGCCTCCTCCTGAAGATCCCGAGTATGAGAACAGCTTCTCCATGCAAGTCCCAGTCAGAGATCAGCCGCAGCCCAACGGACACTGAAAGAACGAGTTCACGCTTTTATCAACTTGTTTTTAAACATACGTGTTTTTAAACATACGTGTTTGTTAAGTAGCCTCAGATTTACATCGGTTTTGTTTTAAATACTTCAGCTCTATAGTTTTCAGAATTTCTTTGCACACATTCATGATGTTTGAAAAAAAGCACACTGAGAATAATGTTTTATTCATTTACTATCTTCTCTGTATATTTGAAGATGGTGTGACATCATATGATATTTTTGAAAACAGAAGGAGATCTTTTCAGGAAACACAGGAAATATCTGTTTAAAACCATATTTACGCTCATGTAGACGAGGCCTAAAAAAACAATTACAACTTTAGTGGACTGAGTTCTTAATATCTTCCAATCCTAACTTTCATTTGCCATATGTTCCACAAATGAAAGTGAAAACACAAAAGCTGAGATTGCAGGTTGTTTTATCTGTGACACCATGTCGGGGAATTTACCAAGTGACGGTTAATGGAACTTTTTTTTCAAAGCCACTGTTATTTAATGGTGTCAACCAATCAGCAGACAGTAATCTCATCAGCAGATTGTTCTGACCTAAATGTGCAACTTATAAAAAGAAAAGGTCTCGATTAAGCAACCTGCGGAGTCATAAGATGATTAATATGGAGCCGCCTGGAGATTCAAATAAGTTGAATTGAAGCCATGAATTGAAATATTAAATATTAAAGCCCCATCAGAGGCTACAGTTAAACATCGATGCCACATTATTAAAACAAAAGGTTTGTATTCATGCTCAGACTTCCTCTAACAGATGCTTTTGTTTGGTAAATCTGTAGTAGAGTGTAAAGTAAAAGTACCACAGATGCTCTAAGGCGTTTCACTCACGCTTGTTTTTACACTCGACTATTTTTAGCGATCAAATCCCGGCGGTTGCCTGGTTTGTTTCCAACCATCAGACGAAAACTGCCGCTAATTTAACCAATCACATTAGGCAGGAATGTGGCGCAGCAGCCAGACAACAGCTCAGCTCCCTATAGACGAACAGTGAGCCGTGAAATCAAAGCAGGAATTGAAGTAACTGACGTGTGACTGTTTCCTGAGGAATTTCTTTTGGATGTGGGAGTTTGTCAGAGACTCCGACACCTCTCTGATCTCATGCTGACGGTTGTCTGGGGAGGTTTACATCATCACGTGCAGAGAGTTATGCCATGCAGTCGTCGTTTCTTCCAAACCAAAGCAGATGTATTTTATCTTCAAGCCTCAGAAGTTTGTAAATGTGGCTCATTTGTTTTATGTTTTCCTGTCTCTGCTGGAATTATCTGTTCTTGGCCCCACGGCTGAACCAGATTGCTCCTAGCAACAAGCTTCTCATGACCTTCTCATGACCTTCTCATGGCCTTCCCTAAACTGTACTGGTGCCAATGTAATCACTGGAAATCCAGAAGCAGGGATTTTTTTTAAATAATGAACGGATGCAGACCTACATTTATTATCCAGGAGGGAGTTAAGACAAACTACAGCAGTCACACTGGAGACCATCTTTGGTTAGATTTCACAAACACTGATTACATTTAAAGAAAACAGTTTTCTGGATGTTTTGCTGTTGGATTCTCTGGACACTTTCTCAGTTAGTCTAAACCCGGCTTCATGTGTTTGTCCCATACTTTTATTTGATCTGTTAGTTTTGGTTTCACGTTGTAATTTAAGGACTAAAGAATTTTGCCCGACAAACGTACGTCCTGTCGTCATCACCTACGTGCTCTACCTGTACTTTGTTGTCAACGCGGCTGCTGTATCTGCAAACTGTTTCAAATAAAGTGCCTTATGTTTTATCTGTTTGAATGGAGAAAATTAATGAACCGCATCACTTTGTTAAATTAGTTGCCACGGTAATATCTTGATGGTATTACTAGCTGCTTCCTCTTCTTTTTCTTCTTCTCCTGTTAAATGCTGTCTCTGCTTCCTGTGATTGGTCCAAACTATCCAACTGTTTTCACTCTTTAAACCGACAGAACCGAGAGTTAAAGGTTCAGTGTGTAGAATTTAGTGACATCTAGTGGTGAAGTGTCATGTTGCAGCTCACCTCACCCTCCCCTTCCTAACAACCTCCAGTTCTCAAAAGGTTTAGTTTCATCGTTTCACCTGAATCCTTCTCACTGGACCTTTAATATTTTGCACCAGACCAGTCAAGAGCAACATTTTTTCACGGTGATCTCCTTGGTTCGTCGAGTTAAAGATTGAAATACGTCCTCTTAATGTTCACTTGGTGCAGGTGCTGGCTTGTTTCTTGCTCGGTGCATGCTTCTTCCTTGCGGAGCCTGCTCTGTTGTTACCGTCGATAAATGGAATGAAACGAGGTGAAGAAATACGATCACGCCCTCAGCAGATCTCTCTGTGGTAACCACGCACTCAGCGAGCCAAAGAAATCAGAGAGAAAAACCTGCATCCGTCAGTCATTTACATGCTGCCGCTCCCACTCTGCCCTTCACTGCTGCATTCCTCACATTCCTCTGTTCAACGGAGGTCAGGAGAGAGGGTGTGTGTGTGTGTGTGCAGAGGTCAGGAGAGAGAGAGGGAGATAGAGAGAGAGAGGGGGAGTGATGGGGATTATAAAAGTAGGAGATATCCGGAACGTGGGTGGTTGGGGAAATGATGAAACAAGTGGGCCGGACTGTGAAAACTACTATTGAGGATAAGCCAACCTCAACCCCTCCCCTCTCTCTCTCTCTCTCTCTCTCTCTCTCACACACACACACACACACACACACACACACTCCATTACCCCATATGGCGTTATTTCTGATGACAAAAGGAGGGCGATCGAGTCAGACCTGGGACCGTTATGACGTTCTCCTGTTTCCATGCATAACTTTCACCAGCAGCAAATTCAGCAGCTGACGTCAGACAAGTGTGATCAGTAAAGACGATGACAATAACATGTACATTAAGAAAAAGAGCTGGGGGGGGTGCATCTCATGTGTCACGTCCTCTGCATCCTGGTGGGTGGACGTTAAACCATTAAAAAAACATTTCATATGAAGCCGGAAATCTGAACTTCTTGGAAACGCTGAAACGTCAGACGCAGTTTTAATGATGATGAAAGAGCCAAACCGCTGTTTCATGAATGATGTGAGTAAGATAATGATACTTTATTTACAATTAGGTTTTTAGCTGACGCCTTCACCCTGTGACAGAAACAGAATGAGTAAGCGGTGACATACTGAACAGGAGTTGAACCCTGTGGCCACTAATTTCAGATTTGCAGAGGCAAACAGGTTTTGTTGGAAGGTTTACAGAATATGTCACAGCACAACGTGCACCTGCATGATTATACTTCCACGAGAAATCAAAGCGGACGTGAGGGAGTGATCTCGGTTAAATATTAACACAGACTTGAACACGAGGCACCAGGTGTTGACCAAAACCAAAACCACAATCCACTCGCTGTCCAAGTGTTTTAGGGACGTGAACCATCTAAAGCTCCTTCATGTGGTAAAAGTACACACATTCTTTACTCAAGTAGAAGTACAGATACTATTTAAAGTATGAAAGTTTTCTTCTGACTGTATCTGTGCAAAACAAAGTGAGACGGAAAAGCATGAAAAACTGTTCAGGAGGAAATGTGCACAATTTATTTAATCAAGTATTTTAAATCTGAAGCTTTCAGAAAAATAATAAAATCTACGTACCGTAACAAAGTATTTACAAGTCCTTCGCTCAAGTTCGAATTTCGTGCAATTTCGTTGATTGATTCTTTGTTGTCTCCTCCCTGAGAGTGAAACCTTGCTTATTTTCGAGGATTTAACGGTGAAGTGATGTGAAGAATTATCTCTTCAGAAATTCTTCATCTTGGAGTCAGTTTCCAGAGAACAAGAATCTGTTTGGAAAGGAGACAGGAAGTGATTACATTTTGGAAGAAAACATGAAAAAAGAAGCAGTGACGAGAACTCTAGAAATTCAAAAAAAACAACCTAAAGGAACGATGTGTTATCAAAACTACATATTTCCTTCTGTGTGAGTTTTATTTTCTATTATTGGAAGTGACGGTTGGAGGGGCTCGGTGCACGGAGCAGCTGGAGGTCAGGAGCACATGTGATGTGGGTGAAGGGTTTTTCAGACATTTGTTATGAACGGACTGAGCTGCAGTTGTGTTTACATTTCATTTCATTTCCAGACCCCAAAAAACATTTGTGATATAAAATGTGATGGATTCGTTTTTCTGATGTTGATCCTATAGACGCTTCTGTCGTTACACTTTGGGGGAAATACTCGACCCCCTACAGTTGATAGGACACTTTAATCACACACAATTAATCATTACTCTTTACTGATTATTGATCCAAGAAGGTTTGACATGTGTTAAACTTCCCCAGAGTTCAGAAAGAGTTATTTTTTACATCTGTAACTTTGCCTCATTTGTTCAAGTATTTGTTTACACCCTCTAACAAAGGCCGACTGAAACTAAAACTTCTGAAGTCGGTGTTATTGTCCAGATGCTTTTCATTTGATTTAGTTTACATAAACTTCAGTCTTTTGACAGTTGAAGTTTCATTTTCCAAACCTAATGTGGTTCAACAAAAAGAAGAGACAGAGGTGATGAGATAAGGCTTCAGAGAAAGGGGGGGAGGAAGAGGAGATGGTGATTGCTCAATTTGGTATTTTCTGACATATTTGTGATAACTTCATTCAACTAACAAAAGAAATTCAAAGCTTTTCCAACGTGTGAAAGTGTGTGTGTGTGT